ATGTCTCTTTCTCCCCCCCCCCCCTCTCTCTCTATCTCTCTTTCTCTCTCCCCCTCTATCTGGGCCTCCCTCCTCTCTCTGAATCTCATGCACAACTCCGTTGCCTACCGCCGTAAACGATCTCGACCCGAGCTTGGTGTACTGAAGTACTGTACAGTGTACCCACGGGTGACACTGACGATGGATGATGATGTTCTTCCCGTGCTATCCCCCGTTGTTGTGGCGTGCTTCGACCTGATTCCGAGATGTCTTGCATCGTGGTTGCTTGACCCCTACATGTACCCCCTCTCGAGTTGGTTTTTTTGCCAACATGCGTCGGAATCACGGGGCGCGTTGAAGCCGGATGAGCTTCCTGCCCTTTGTTGAACCCTGAGGTTTCGTGGGACTGTGCGTTCTGCAGGTGCTACCGGCAAAGACGCTACCCTCGCAGCACCAGGAACGGCTGGATGTGGCGAGAGGGGTGAGTGAGTCATCATAACCCGCGGATTTGATTTGTTGAGTGTGGGAAAGGTCGCGTGTTTCGTGTAACGTATTGTTACTTGTCTCCGTCGTGAGGAGTGTGAGGAGGTAGGTAAGCCCTGGAAATCGCCCTGCGCCTGCTGTGCCTGAGCAAGCACGAACCTTGCCTTTGCAAAGCTACATAGTGCTCTTGTTTTGGGTGCCATGTCTTACTGCAGCCCGAACACAATTTCCTGGGCACGAAATGGACACACACCCATACAGTACGCGCATATTGTATCCTCCAATTCCTATATTATTTTCCGACGCTCAAGGAAAGGCGGAGATTATACCGTTCTCTCAACTCGCCTCCATGCTGTCTCGTTGTTGTACTTACCGCTACGAAAACAAGCCTCCTTTCATTTTTTCTCTCGATTTTTTCCCGGGCAAGGTGGTGGAGGAAGGGAGCAACGTCCTGTACTCGCTCTTCTTGTGGCAGATCAAGCCTCTCTTCTCGCACCTCATGGAGGCTGGCTCTTCAGCCCCTGCTCCTGCTTCGGAAGGTTTGTACACAGTAGAGCAAGCTGAGGGTGTTTGTGTTGTTGTTGTTGTTGTTGTGGTCTTCATGCATTAACATCGTGCCGGTCTCTGGTCGTTGCCTTCGGTGGATGTTGTTTTCTTCACAACATTTGGTTCGGTTCGATCGGTGTGTGGTGTTGCTGAGATGGCAGTTGTTGCTGTTGCTGCTGCTGCTTGTATCATTGTGTCATTGATTCGTGCTTGGGGTCATGGAGAGAGAAAGATAACCCCTCTGGGCTTTTCCTGGGGAAGCAGACTTGTTCAATGGCCCCCTTTTCTTCGAAGCCTCGGACCGAAAAGAAAACGACAGCCTCCGCTTTCCATGCTTGCAAACCATGTTCCTCGCTTGGTTTCGAAACAAACATTTTGACAGTGCTCATTTTGCTCGTGTGTTTTTGTGGGCGGGTTATGACACACATACATGATTGGTACCGTAGCAGCTGCGGCTGCCGCCGACGGAGGCAGTTTGGACGACGGGGATGCCAAGGAACCGACCCCTGCCAAGGGGAAGAAGAGAGGCAGGGGAAAAGGGAAGAAGGCCCGGGAGGACGAGGAGAATACCCTTGGTAGGTGTTGAGTTGCTGTTGTTCATTGATACTGCTGTCGGCTGTTGTTGTTGTTCATTGTGACTGTTGTTGTTCTGTTGTTGCTGTTGTCCATTGTTACTGCTGTTGTTACTGTTGTTGTTGTTCGTTGTGACTGTTGTTGTTTGTTGTTGCTGTTGTTCATTGTGACTGCTGCTGCTGTTGTTCATTGTGACTGTTGTTGTTGTTGTCGTTGTTGTTGTCGTTGTTGTGACTTCCAGTGTTGTTTTAAGATAGGACAACAGCTTTCAGCCTACTCTAGCAAGGCGATGTCCACAATGTGGTGCTCAGCCCGGCGACATCATATCTACCCACCTAATTGTTTTTCGTCTTGATAATTTTCTGGCGTTTAAGCCTGCGTTTCACGCGTCCTTGCTTCCCAAAATACAACCTTTTCGTTGTTAGGTGTTTTCTTTTTTTAATGTCTTTCTCAAAACCAAGAGTCATTAATTACAAGGAAATTTAATTAAGAAGCACGCACTCGTGTTCCTGCGGGAGAATTAATTTTTTGCGGCCTTTTTGGCCGCTCCTTGTTGTGTCTGTCGTTTTTTTTTGGCAGGTGACCGGACTTTGGAGGTGGAGGAGATCACGGAGGAAAAAGTCCAAGAGGTCGTCAGATACCGGTAAGAAAATGTTGTTCTCGAGGTTTTTTGTTTTCGCCGGAAGTATCCGGGTGGACTTCATGATCGCTCAGACGACTTCTCTCCGGCATCAACAATGTGATCGGGACTAGTAGGGTGGTGGCATGAGAGGTCACCTTTCACGCTTGCACTGTGTGCATCACGGAAGGTGAAGGTGTTCGACTCTATTAATCCCTATCGGCGACGCCATGTATTCAAGCCAACGTTCTCTGGGTACCTGCTTGTAGCTCGCGGCGTACATAGCCGACCACAAAAACAATCGTTTCTTCCGAGCGAAGGGCCTGTTTTTGAAAATGCGGTTCAAGAACGCTGCTCCTCTTGTCGAGATTGTGTTTCAAAACTGTGTCGTATCAACTTTCGATGTGTTTCTCGCCTACTATTGGAGAGCCCTTCGTACATTTTCGTTTACCTTTTTTTGAGTCTCATTTGCACTACAATACGTTCCCTTTTTTTTTTTCTCAGGGACGATCTTGTGGAAGTCCTGCGGGCCATGCTCGCGATGCACCTGTACCCCAGGAGGAACGACGAAGAGGAGGAGGACGAAGGCCAAGACCAGGGAGGGAGAGGGGCCGCGCGCGGGGGGGGCGCCGTGACTGAGGACGGCATCGAGGGGGTACCCAGGGTGCTGACGGCGGACCAGGTGACCAAGAGCCAGCGTTGCAGTACTGCTGTCGAGTTAACAGCAGGAGCAGTCATCAGTGACGAGAAGAATGTATTATTTGTGTGTAGTTGAGGAGGAGTCACGGCCGTGAGTGGTGGTGCGACCGCGGCAATCCCGAGCAATCGGCCTAGAAATTTTGTTGGGTGGAGTGCTTTGGATGCAAACCAGCCGCAGCAACATCAGGAGTCGGCAGTAGCAAGGAGTCAACAACCAATGTGTGATGAACGCTTGAGTGACCGCGGTGATGGGTGCGGTGGCTAGAGTATCCCGAGCGACAGTCTAGAGAATTTGCTTCTGGTGTGTTATTGATGCTAAACCAGCTGCATTGGCATCAGCGATCGTCGCCGTTATGGGTGCAACACGCTGAAAGGGTTATGCTCTGAGCTTTTCGTGCGGTACTGAGTCACAACGGTATCTACACGAGCTATGACACCCCAACGCTCTATTTCACTGCTGCCGCTTTTGTCCTTCTGTCTCCCTAACCTCTCTGCCCCCCCCCACACCACAACCATAAATACTCACACTTA